TCGAGAATTTGATCCCTTTGCATTTTCCTGAGCATCTTCTTAGCACAAGCTAATACCTCAGCTTTCGTCTCAACATCATCATCTTCCGAGTCATCTGAGGACGAGTCATCACTGGAATCAGTAGCTGGGGCCAGGACAATCTCAAAATCATCCTGTGCATTGGAAGCCTGGAGTTTGGTGCTTTTGGGGCCTGCAGCATCGTTTGCTTTCTTTTCCTCGGCCTTGTTCGGAATATTGAGTTTTTCATCCTGTTTTTTCTTTACTTTGGACCTCTCTAGAATAGCTGCCCTTTCCTGTCGTTTATCGGTCTCCATTTCATCATCATTGTCATACTTCCCTAAATCCCCTTGCTCTACGGCTTCAGCAAAAATATCCTGACCGAACCACCTGTCTGTAATCTCCTCCTGAGTTGGTCCTTCACCGTCATCTAGCAGTATCATAAGAGGATTTGCTTCAGGATCAGCCTCTTCCATATCCGAAACATGATCAGAAAAAATAATATCACCATCACCACCCTGAACAGCCATGAACGGAAATTCAATAAACAATATTCAGCTTTTATTAACAACTATTCGTCATTATCTATTAAAAGCATAAATAAATAAGGGAATGACACTAGCACCGCGAAAACAGGATTTCTATTAACAAAAGAGAAGCATAGGGAAGTAGTACTTGATGCAGAAAAGAGGAGTCTGTTAACACTTATTAGTTAAAGTTTCTACAAAAGATCAAATTTTTTAGTTCTAAATTCTAATACACACTTTAAGAGCTTCATACCTCTAACTTGTCATAGGCTTCTTTTGCACGCTTCCTCTGCTTCGTACTTCCATCCTTTTTCGACACATACTCTTCATACGCGTGATCAAGGATCTCTTCTATTTTTTCATCATATCTAGCATTAAAATTACAAGGTTAACAAACAGAGAATGTTAGAAATTATATATATATATATATATATATATATATATATATATATATATATATATATATCAGTCATGAGAAGCAGATACTAACCTTCTGCGTTCTTCATCAGAATCGATATCACTGGATGACTCATCCTCGGTGCTTTCTTCTCGGTTTTGTTCATCTTCGCTACCCCTCAGATCAACGTTGCCACCATCATACTCGGTGGAATCAACTGCCGCAAGATCTTTCTTACCCTAAAGATGGTAATTGACTGACATCAATGAATGTTTCTACCAAAGTATAAAGCTTAAAAGACAACCTAAGTAACTTTTCAGGAAATATCAAAGAACCACAACTGTAAGCAACAGTTTAGTATTGCACAGTAACGCATGCCAGAGCATTGTTTCCATTAACAAAGTGTAAGTAAACCGAAACGATGTTAAGAATAAAACTTGTCTCAGTTCAGAAACAGTATATTAATAATCAATAAGGTTAAACATCAACTATGCCCCTGGTTCAAATGACATAACTGCAGCCTTGTGATGAGTGTCAGTTTTGGTCTTTTATACTTGCAGTAATCAATTGTATTTTTACTAGTTACAAACATTATTGGAGTTATCCAGTTCGCAGCCTTGGTAAAACAAACCTTAATGGAAGAAAGAGAGAACAACTCATGATCAACGTAACTATTTTCCAAGGCATCTATTTGCATTCCTGTTGCCTTCCGTGATTTGTCCTGCAAAATAAGAAGGTACCAAATCAGCAAATAAACGAGTGTGCGTCGAAACATCCTACAACAAAGTGGAACAGCATAAATATCTATCACCCCGAAAAGATGGAAGCGTAATTCTTTTAAAAAGATTACCAGGCTCCAGGCATCATTTAATCACTATATTGTAGATACATAATCATTGGTACAATCACAAAATTCGTTCCATTCATGATTTGTTGCATGGTAACATGCACTAAGACATAAACATAGGGATCAGATTTTTCTTAATACGGTAATAAACCTTTGCTCGTCTTTTTGCAAGAAGCTTCTTTTCTCTTTTCTTCTTACGCTCCATGGCATATGTTCCTCCATCTCATTGAGTAATTTATCATCTTCGTTCTCCTCATCCCCTTTATCATCATCTTTAGCAGTGGTAGGAGTTGGAGGAGTAGCCTTTTCTGAAGGAGACAGCTTTTCTCAATTGCATCCGCCACCTAAATCAAGGTAATCAATACACATCACATTCATGCACATAAATCTAACATATTTTCATCTGATGAACAATAGGAATTCAAATCAAGCTCCTCTCAAAAGATCAAGGACCCAGTGCACTGATTATAGCTTAACTTTCACATATTTTCATATTACCACAAATTGTTTAGACTAGAAAACTCAAAAGGGAAAATCTGAAAAGGATTATGTTTCTTACTTCAAAAGATGCTTGAATTCCTGCTTTCGTAGAACTCGCAAATCATCACAAAGAGCTTTGACCTGTCAATACAGCAACAAAGTAAGTAATGACAAGTATTAACGACGGTAATGATTAGCAATACTGTAAAAGACGTAGAACTGTGATCCTTAATAGGCAATGAAGCTGGATCCCCAAAGGTTATGGTAGTAACTGAACCTGGGATTTCGAGAGGAGAATCAGACCAAATGAAATCAGCAGCAGTAGATATCTTCTTTGAGATTGTCTCCCCGTCTTCATAACTGAAATTGGCATGTACTTAGAAACAAAGTATAACATAAACCTTAAAACCAGATAGCAGAGGAATCAATTCAATAAAAATGTTCAATCATTATCAACAAAGCAGTAACATTGCTGTCTGATAAAGGGAAAGCTTACCCATCATGGTGTCTCTTCTGTTTTGTTACCCTAAGTACATCAATCACCTACATCAAGTATGTGGCAGAAAGAACAATACTGAGCAGAGATGCAATCAATAGGAGAACAAAAGTAGTCAGTTAAGAGATTTTGAAACCTAAAATGAAATTAAAAACCTTCTTTTGTGGTTCTATCGATCCCTGAAACAGATGTTTGAAATCAAGAAGGCGTGGATCAATCTTTGCCGGGGCTTTATACCTTAGCCCCAAAACATAAGTCTCAGCTGATTCTGGGCGACTAGCATGTGGTTTCCAAACTTTAACCTCCTCAAACAGCTGCAGACCAAACCAAACACGCGTGTCAAAGGAAAAAACAAAACTTCACAGAGAGATATATCTTATGGTTTTGTTTATCACCTGCTTGAGACAATATAGAACGGAACTGTAATCTTGGGACCTAAAAACCTTAGTGACAAAGGTGCCTTTAGGGGCCAAAAACTGGGTAGCCAGCTTAACAGAATCAATAACCAAAGTATTTTGGCTCATTTTTTCTTGAGCCCAAGCACCACCAATATTAGGGGATCCATCATGCAAAACGACATCAAAAGCCATAACCCTGTGCTCTTCCATGACTCGTTTAACCTTGGACTTGCAATCGGATTTGGTTATGTCTTGTTGAAGAGCGATGACACCTCGTATAGGAGCAATGGGAACAAGATCAAGACCGAGTACAAGGCTGTCGATGGGTGTATGCTGCACGGCCACTTGCATCCAACCACCGGGGGCAGCACAAAGGTCGAGGACAACATGCGTTGATTTTAGAAATCTGAAATTGTCATCCAGTTGTACATGCTCTGGAACGGTAGCTGTGTTCTTTGGCTAACTTATAGTAGATATCTAACCTATGCTTCCCTTTCACTTTACCCATATCCCCTCTTCAATTGAATCCAAATTAAACGCCAAACAGCTGGTGGAGAAGAAGGAAAAGGGAAATATGGAACGTTAAAATGATTTTTTTTAATTCTCCCAAACCCAAAGGCCTAATCCCTAAACCAAAAATAACTAAACCTATAGCTTTTCAAAATAATATATATCTTCTCAAAATAATTATATCTTCTCAAAAAAGCAAAATAAACAAAGGGAGACAGAGTAACAAACATAATCATCAAAAAACAGAAAATCAAATATAGCAGAGCAATGCACAAACAGAGGCAGAAATCAAATATCCCCAATGGTCTTCACCTAATACCTTGAGCTCTTTTTCCAACTCATTTATCAACCGAAGATTCACTACTATTTCCAAAGGTAATTACGATTTAAATGACTAATGAAATATCCTCAATATTTTCTTAATCTTGACATGCACCCATCATAACAAACATGCCCTCAATATCTTCTTAATCCATCATAAGAATTACATATAAGCATACCTTCAATAACGGTCTCAAATAGCAGTGTAATAGAAAAATAGATAAATCGAGAGCTTTAAATACACAGTCCTCGACAAAGTAAACCAGTAGGACCGAAAACAGAAAATCAAATATAGCAGAGCATTTAGATGCATATTGAATATAAATCAAAATCTTATGACCCAAAGTAGAAATCAATATTCAAGTTAAGCTTGGGTTAGAAGAGAAGAGAAGACGACGAGTGAATAGGTTTAAAAAATTTACCTTAGGGTTTGGGTCAGAAGAGAAAAAGACGAGACAATAGGTTTTTAAAGAAAATTAGAAAAAAGGGACTATATATAATTTTAGGATAAACTACGGATTTAGTACCTAAACTATTAGTTTTGGTTGGTTTTAGTATCTAAACTTTCAATTCAGTTTCAAAATCATACCTAAAAGTTTGATTTTTGTTTCATTTTAGTACCCCTCCGTTAAAAGCTTAACATTGAATCCGAAAATAGGTAACATTGACCCCATCGAGTTAATGCATTGAGAATCCCCTATCAGAATACATCCCAACATGACATGCAAAATGACGTAAAATTCGAAGTCCGATTCGATTAAGAGGTATCACATGATTAGTTTCCAAAGCATATAATCAGTTTTCCATTATTTTCATGCAATCACATATTTGCACGCACATCACATAATCCACATTTCCGACATTACATCTTGCATCACATAACTTATTCTTTCTTAATCATAATAAACACAACTAATTCCATATTTAAACATATTTTCAAGTCATTATCAAACAACCAAGTAAACAGACAAACAAATCAAACATATGTAGCACCGATAGAGACACACCTCGACAAATAGCTAAGGACGTGATAACACTTTCCTCGGTCGGCCGGTCGATCCGAATCAGTGCCTACAACAATATTTAACAATTAATAAATTATTTTAAACTTCCCAATAAGGCTAACAAACTAAAATAATAAATTCACACTCACAGGTAACTCAAGCAGCTCGAGTCGGTTCGATGTTAGCAGGTAACGGTGACGAAGGCGGTAACTCGATTCCCGGATCAAAACTTCCTGCAAAAATCACAATGCATAATTTCATATTCCAATGACGAATTTCAGAACTTAAATAATAACTTTTACGGTGACGGAAATATTTTTTTCTTGTTCGAATCGGTGAACCGACAGTGGAGTTTCGCTCGATTACGGATGCTGCAGTATAAAAAAAGTGGGAATGCCGACGACGAGGGTGTACCAACAGCAGCCCCAAGGGACGGCGAACTCACGGCCACGCTCGCCGTGGCCTTAAACGGCTGGCCACTAAGGCCATTTAGCTACCAAACGGCGAAAGTATATAAAGAAAATAAGGCTGACGAGGGTCTGCCCAGTGAATTTCCGACCAGATAGATTTTCCCCACGTCACTTCCGGCCACACCATGGCCACGGACGGTCAAAGCAGGCCGCGACGACGGTGCATTCGCGAGCAAAGCTCGCTGGTTTCGAGCGAACGCGACTTCGGGTCGACAGCAGCTGGAACGAAGTTAAAGGAGACGGTCGACAAGCTTACCTGACCGGTCAGATGGCGTGAAGGGAAATGGAGGAGTGAGCGGCGATGACTTAAAGGGAGATGAGATTGCTGCTAGGGTTTTAAAAATAAAAGGGGAGGGCTGCGCAGAGTTATAAACGGGGAAGGGGAGAGTTTGATATCAAATAAAATTGCTCTAATTTGAAGGCAAGTCATAATTTTTTCTAGGGTTTTGCAACTACGGCTTCAATCTTTACCAATTTACAGTTTGATCACTGATTTCAATTTAGGAATTTTAGGTCAAATTTCTCAATTACTAGTAGAAGTGTATTCGGTTCGGTTCGGTTTTTTACTAAAAATTGAACCGAACCGAAATAAACGGTTTTCCAAAATTTAAACCGAAACCGAAATCAAAATCGAATGGTTAAAAAACTGAATTATGTGAAACCGATTTTTTCGGTTCGGTTCGGTAAAACGGTTTTTCATAAACTGAAAACACGTATACTCTGCTTACTTGAACTGATATTTAACCTACTCCACCTCCCAACTCCCAACTATTCATGACCAATGTTAATGGTAAACACCATAATGCATGGACTATATATGAACTATAAGATTCCAAGACAGAAACAGGAACTCGAAAGCTGCAACTTAGTCCACAAATAATGATTCAAGGCAAGGCGATCAAGTAAATGAGTTTCAGTACAACTTTCGAAAATGCAAAGCATATAAAGATGGCCATTTGAACTATGATTTATTCATTTTATACATTTCCAAACTCTACTCTGATGATAAGAAAGTAGTTTTCATATAACATACAAACGGTGAAGAGAACTGAAAGAAGAGAGCATGCAGAAGCTTCATTTTCAATAAAGTTTCAGGATTTCTATCGGCAGAAATGGAAAAACAAAGAAGAAATAAAAGACAGTCCAACGGAGAAGAGAGACATACCCGATGGTTGGCAGTCGGACTATGGCGTGATAGTACCGGTGGCTGCGCCTGCGCTGTGATAAGTGCCTGCGCTTGGGTAGTGCCGTAGTGGAGAGTGGAGAGTGGAGAAGAGAACGGTTGTGCTGAAGAGTGAAGAATGTTAGGGTTTTCTACATTGTGTTAACTTTAATTGGGCTTATGGGAAGTGGGTAACCGGATATTCGGTTCAATGCCCGTCAAATGTGTTTCATATGAAAAAACCCAAACCGAATCAATAGAATTGATTCTTTAAATCAACCCGAAACCGAATCGTTTATAGTTAAACCCGAATTGAATCGAACCGTTTTACTCGGTTCGTGTCGGTTTTTCATTTTTCTCAGTTTCGTTGGTCAGCCCTAATTACTAGGGTTTTAAATTGTGGATTTTTCGGTGTGTTACACCATCCGTAAAGCATGCACAATCAATCTATCCCTTCCTATTTATCCCAGTTTCCTCTTGGCGGCTACAATGTATGTCAAAGGACACAATTTTTTTGCGATAAATAGAGTTGTCAACGATTGTTTTTTATGGTTACTACTAGAAAGATTTTGCAAACTTAAATAAGTTAAGTGCTCCAATCCTAAATAAATAAAATTTTCTAAAATAATTATAAAAAATATAATTTAATTATATTCCTACTAAAATTTAAATTAAATAATAATAAAGGTCATTATATTTTTTCATATTTATTTTATAAGAATAATTTAATTAGTGGTGTGCATTGGTGTGTCATATTAGTGGTGTTCGGTGCGATGTGCGCTCTAGATTCATCCTGAATTTGATCTAACTCATACTAATAAAGATGTAAAATTTTAAAAAAATAGAGAAAGTAGGAAATCTAATTTGATTGAAAGTAATAAACATATTTTATTTTATGTTAATTAAAAGTAGAAAACGAGTCCGTTTGGTTTTATAAAATATTGGCTATTTTCATTTTCTTAGAAAATAGAAAACATTGAAAAAAAATGTTTGGTTGTAAAATTAGAAAATGATTTGGAAAATAAAAAAATAAGTGAAATATGAAAACATAAAAAAATATTTTCAGTATTTTCATTAAAATTGTTTTGGAAATTTGAAAATAAGGAAACATGATATTTAGATTTTTTACTTAACTTACAAGTTTAAATCATTCTAAAAATAATTTTTTGATTTAATGATATTTGAAACCTCAACTTTGATAAAAATCAACATGGTCCCTAAATCTTTTTAATCTCAATGTAGTCCTTAAATTAATTTTTTTAATAATTTATTTTGTAGTATTTTTATATTTAATGTATTGAGTATCTTAAAACTTTTATCTTTTATATTTTTAATCTAATTTTTTTAAATGAAATAAGTCTTCAAACTTTTTAATAATCAATTAAATTTATTTATCACATCATCGTATCGAGGTATTACCACAACAGTATCGTGAACTGTCACATCAAAATTGTAGATTACTATGTAAGTTTATGAATAACAGTAGCATCATTACTATCAACGTTTGATTCCTCACAAACATGAGTTTAATGATCTTCAGAACAGCATACCCTCTTTCATTTCCTTACCACAAGTAATCCACGAGCCAGACAAGGCAAGTGTCTACACTTTGAGCCAAAAGGGAGCGGTTGTTTAGGAAAGACAACGAGAGAGCCTGCTTCAATTCAAAGTATATTGTGCTTTTACGAGGATTGACAATCACCATGGGAGAGTTTAAGAAGAAACGATCCTCACAACTAACTTGAGAGTTCATGGGGCGCTCAAGGTTCCGAAGCACGATTTTTGCATATATTTTGGCCTGAATAGGGGTTGTGATGCAGCAGCGACACCACGTAGACTCTAGGTGCACCTGCATTTTAGAGGCTAGGTATTTCCTGCAAAAGAGCAAATGATAAGATAAAGAGAATAGGTACTTTCCTGCAAAAGAAAATGCAGAACAGACTTTAGTATAGAAGAAGGGTACCTTAACATTCTGAGAAATCTGTCAATCTCGGCTCCACTGGAGTTATACGTAAAATAAATAAATAAATAAACAGAACATTTTTAGAATACACAGATGAATCAAGAAGGTAAGCTATGAACATGAAACTTGTGAAAATTTTGTTTCCAGAGATAGGGGAGGTAAGTAAAGTAACTATCTTGCAGAAAACATATAACATAGCACCTAACAAACTTTTTATGCAAATGGAAAATCTTGTACTTATAAAGATGCATGTGGAAATGGATGCTAAAATTTACAAAGCTTCAACAATTGAACCGTAAATTCACTGCCTAAAGCTAAATATTACTGGAACTTATCTTGCTTTTGTTTTTGAAGTATAGTGTCCAACACCCTTTTCTGACATATATTTGGACATCAGTAGGGGATATGACCCTTCAAGAAATCTCCACATACATGGAAAAACTGGGAAAAAAAAGGATATACCTATGTCGGTTACATATCTGTATCCGACCCTAACACCCAAATCAAAACAAAATAGGCAGGAACTCCTCAAAGTGTTCTTTGGTATTTGCAGGCATACTGCAGCATGCCATTGAGGAGGATCAATACAACCTTGGTGTAAGATTGGCAGCATTTTCATCGTCATATACTTTTTACCCATTAATTTGTCTTCTCAAGCCAATAATTTAAAGCCTGATTTGATTTCCTACAAACAGACTTGTGAAGGCATTTCCTACAAAATGTTCTGAGTAGACATACTGAATTTCATACAAAAATGACAGAACAACGTTCAAAACAGTTGATCTCACCTACAGAAAGGCCGGAATGGTGTTTGAGTCACTTACTAATCAAGTGCAAGCATTAACTTTTACAACAAAGGCCAGTTTGCTCTTATTAGTTACTGGTACAAATATTGGTGTTTCAAGAATGCACAATGGGCAACATAAGTCTCACATCAGCAAAGTCTAACATCTTAGGGTAATTTATAAAGTCCATAGGCTAGCCTCCCTTCAGCAATTTCCTAGTGAGATCCACTGCTCTTCCTATGGGGTTGGATCTAGTTGACTACTGAGAGAAAGAAAATAAGGGAGAGATGAATGTGATGACAGAGTCCATGGGTAGTGACCAGTGCATGTAAATATCATGTTGTCTACAATAAGTAATTTACTATATGGTAGTAAATAGATTAATACACTATGTAATTTACTACCATAAACTCATTCAAATTTACCAGTTGAATGCCAAATGCTAAGGCCAAAACATTAAAACCTGCATCTTAGATGTCCTGCTTCTTGTATTCTTATGGCTTCTTCTATCTATCTGTGCCAAAGCAGTGGGGACCAATGATGAAGCTGCAGTATGAAAGGATTGTGGATCGTAGAATGAGTTTACAAAGCCTTCAACATGCTTTAAGGCGATCCTCCCAACCCCATCCATGTTCAGAGTCTTTGAACTTCCAGATGCGTCTATCCTGTAAATAGTTAAGCCAAAAATAAGATCTCAAAAGTAAATTTTTGAAGCATTCTCCTACCAGTCAATACCACTTTTTACCAAAGCTTAAATATTATTTTTGCTTTATTTTAGACGCTGTCTGGTTGTCCATCCATGAGAACTTTCAGAAAATAGGATCTTTTTATCTATATATTTGAGGCTCCCAATCATTGAAACTAGGAATCCAAATTGCCAACTAGCCAAAAGTAGTTTGGCATACCTTCCATCGAATATGTAAACTAAGGCTAATGCAGCCATAAAACGAGCCATTGTTTATATTGATGAAGAGCATAGATGAATGAGAGGTTTAACTCCACCATCTTGTACTATATGGAGAGCATTTTCACGATAAAAGGCTGAATTCCAGAGTGCTCCAGCAGCAGTCTCGTGGACATCCTGAAAACCAATCATATACTAAACCTTAGTTTATGGTTAGAATATTGATAAGAGCCTAGGGTTCTATCGAAAGGGAATTCGGAAAACTAACAAGAAAAAGTAAAATTTGATCATTTCGAGGGGACCAACGTCCAAACAATTGTCAAAAGGCTTTTTGTATATTTGATTGTTTGAGAAAAATAGTCATAGGACATTACATATTTATAGGGTCCATAATCCTTGGTATTGTACAAATACTCCTTATTGGCCAAACTCTTAATGATAAACACTGAAGTTAATTCTCTAAATACCCCTTATTGGCCAAAGCCTAACATTAATCTAACCTGTCAATTTACATCAACTTTAAATTCTCGGTAATCAGGGCCAAAAGCAATTGCACTAACA